CGAGGCCGAGAAATCAGGCATCGAGCGAGATGAGGCATGCCACAACCTCGTGTTTCTCGCCGGTTTCAACGCGTACGGAGGCATGAAGACCCTATTCCCGGCTTTAATCAAGTGGGTGGGAGGAGCTGGGGAAGCCCTACACCGAAGGTTGCGGGCCGAGATACGGGCCGTGTTCGAACCGCACGGGCCCATAACCCTAACGGGCCTCGACCGGCTGGTGCTTACAAAATCGGTGGTTTACGAGGCATTGAGGCTCGACCCGCCCGTTCCGTACCAATACGGGCGAGCCAAGTGCGACTTTGATATCCGGAGCCATGACTCGAGTTTCGAGGTCAAGAAAGGCGAGATGTTGTTCGGGTACCAACCGTTTGCGACTCGGGACCAGAGGGTTTTCGAACGTGCAGATGAGTTTTGGGCCGAGAGGTTCGTGGGAGATGGGGAGAGGTTGTTGGAATACATTTATTGGTCCAATGGGCCGGAGACGGAGGATCCGGCGATCGGGAACAAGCAATGTCCCGGGAAGGGTATGGTGGTAATTTTGTGCAGGTTGATGTTGGTGGAGTTTTTCTTGAGGTATGATACGTTTGAGGTTGAGGTTGGGAGGAAGATGTTGGGTTCGGATGTGAAGTTCAAATCTTTGACTATGGCTAGTGATTAATTTGTTGTGTTATGGGTGAAAATATTATGTTGTTTTGTTAGAGGATTTGTGTAAATTAATATGGGTTAATTGTGTGGCTTCGAAATTATGTTTTATGGTTATTTTATATTCTTGTGTGATGTTTTGTGGGGTTGATTTGTGTGGGGTATTAGTTTGTTTAGAGATTGAATTGTGTAAAAAAAAATAAAAAAAAATGAGTTACCCGCGAAGAAGCTCAACTGGACTCCTTTATAAACGAGCTTGATTAGGTCTCGAACTTGACTCATTTAAGTAAACAAGCGAGCTGAGCGCAAGATTTTACGAATTGAACGGAGTTGTGCTCACGAACAACTTGGTTTTTATACTGCTCTTTAACCCAAATTACACGTTGATTGTTACCTACTCGGACGTCCTATAGACAACCTCAACTTTATCCCGAGCACCAGAGCTTAGGATCGTATTATAACATTTATCATAAATTTTTATCTTCTTGATCTTCAATGTGTTAGGATTTCTTTTAAACTCAAGTTTTTTCACTATATCTATTTTTTTTTTTCTTTTCTTTTCATGCTTCTTATTACATCTACATTTCTTCTTTGATGGAAAGAAGGTCATGTGAGTTCAAATCTCTTCCTTTCATTTTATCTCTTTCTTTCTTCCTAATAAGGCAAAGTGCTTGCAGTACTTTTTAAGCCCACAATGGGTAAGTAGGCCCAGGTCTAATATAGATTTAATGAGTGTTAACGGGTAAGCCCAATATAGCCAAAAAAAAAAAAAAGGAAATTTTTAGTCCTCCTATAAGATTTACAAATATTTTCAAATTTATTTTCATATAAAAGTATTTTCAAAATACCTAATGAAACTACTTTATTTATGAGATTACATCAATAGCAGTTACAATATATATTCAACTTCCATCCCCCTTTTTGTGGACTTGATTAAGAGAGAGAAAAGAAAAATAATAACTGATTCATTTATTAATTTCTTAATTCACGCAACTTGTACATTGTAATTCAAAGCAGCTGCCAGGTAGTATATTTTGAGTTTATGTTAGTATATATTCAGTGTATGTTGCAAAAATTATATAATTCACGCAGCCGCCAGGTGGTATATTTTGAGTTTATGTTAGTACATATTCAGTATATGTGCAATAAAAAATAAGTCTTCCACAAAAAAAATTATATCTTTTTTTTTTTACTTTTATACATAAAAGTATATAGAAACATATTATAACATTTACTTTTATTCCATATACAAACAAATCTTCTAATATGTTGAACATATACATACAACATATACTGAACAATAAAAAATTATGTCTTCTTTTTTTTTACCTGAAATATACGCAAAAATATACCTAAAAAAACGAGGACGTGAAATTTTATACCGAAAAAATTATGTCTTCTAATATACCAAATTTTGGGGGGGG